CCCGGAACCGCAACCGGCCGCGCCGCCGCCCGCCACATCTGCTTCCGGGTCGCGGGCCCGGTGGCGCTCGGGGCTCCGGATAGTCGGGGCTCCCAGCCTCGCACTGCCGCCTGCCCTACTCCTCGCCCGTGGCTAGGGCCCGGGGAAGCCGTCCTTCCCGAGGGGCGGCTGCCGGCCGTCTCGGCCGCTCCTCCTGGAAACTCGCTGGTCTGGGGGCCTCTGCGGCCTCGGCACCATCAGAGCCCCCGTTAACGCCGGGGGTCGGGTTAACCGCCACTTCCCAGGAAGAGACTCGACCGCAGTCCACGGCCCCAGGCTCGTCTTTGCGCTTAAAGGCAGGGATGTTAAGATAGCTTGTCTGATTTGAGCGAGGGTGGGTTTGGTTTACCAAAAACTGTGTAGTAGGAGCGGGCAGAGGACGATTTGGAAAGCGTGCAGAGAAGCCGAGCCGAGCCGAGTCGGGTCGGTACAGTTTTCTTCAGTGTTCATGGACATTTTGCCTGGGAGCAGCTTTCCTTCAAGACGCTCTTTATGCCAATCGGCATAGGGCTCGTGGTTTCATTATGCAAAACATCTGAATCATTTTGTGTCCTTTCTCCCCCACCCTCAGCGCATACATTGCAATACATTAGTTGTGAGTTGTATCAGTTGCCTTACTGGAGACACCTTAAGCCACATAATCTCTTACTCGAAAGGCATGCTGTCCCCTCTTGTCTCACTTTCTTCACACCCACGAACAAATCTCAAAATATTACATTTTTCCTCTCTCCCGTCTTCCTTTAAAGTTCTCTTTGAAACCATTTTCTGAGCCAAGGGTGCACTGCATAAGTACCTGTAAAGAATTCTGCACGAATTACTCTGAGGGAATCCAATACAGGGGTACCTTGGTTTTCAAACGTCTCCGTTGAGGAACATTTCGGTTTATCAATGCCCGTAAACCCGGACGTTTTCCAAATGCTTCGGTTTTCCAACGCCTCAGAGGTCGAACATGCCACACAACATGCCACACGGCTTCCATGAGGGCAAGATCCTGAGGCCTAGCTGTCGGCTGTTCATCCCTCGGTTTTTGAACGGTTCAGAACTCAGTCTTCCAGGACGGATTACATTAGAAAACCGAGGTACCACTGTATAAGCCTTGCGGGTTAATCCATTCATTCAACACGTTTATTGTGCTCTTATTGTGCAAAGCTTTAGAGGCGAAGATCAAATGTGGATGCCTTTCAGGGGCTAAGATTTGGGGAAACAAAAGTTAATTAACATTCAAACGGACTAGTACCTCGCGACCTAGTATTGTGCTATTAGCACAAGGAAGGGTCATCCATCCAAATTTATTGGGCTTTTTGTTCTGGAAAATTTTTGAGTTGAGCTATAGAAGAACATGTGGAGGTTAGCTATTTGAAGAAGGGAAGGGAAGTTGTTCCAGGTGGAGAGAAAAATATTGGCAAATTGTGGCCTATTTAAGGAACCTAATGCAACTTATTGCCTCTGACATCAGCTGTCAACTTCTTGTCACATGGCATAACCCCTTTAGGATTGTCTCCATAAATCTGTAGGTATACATTCATTTTGGTTTGAAGGGAGGGCTTGGGGGGCTCTAGCCCTCTGTAATGTCAATCACATACCCTCCCTCCAGTTATGTGGTTTGGACAGTGCATTTTTTCTTCATCTTGAGCAAAAACAATTTCAAGCCCCAACCAAGCTTCCAGCCAGGGTCTATGGTGCAGCCATTCCATCATGGTATGTCTCTTGTAGGTGAAGAATTTGCCTGGAAGTGCTGAGGAGTTTGGCCACTGTGCATCTTCAGATTGCCTGAAACCTTCCTCAGTTATCATCCTAATACTCCCTAGATGTCCATCAATTGTTAAACAGCTTTCTTTCCTTCCTTCACTCTGACCTCATCTGTCATTGATTTCTTTATATGTCTTACAGCTTCTATTGCATAAAACAGTGGTTTTCACACTTTAAAAAAAAGTCACAGAACCCTTCTTCAATGAAAGCTTATGTAAAATAGCTTAGGTTGTTCTGGCTGAAATAATGGTGATGGGCCTGTAGTCTCAACTACTTAGCCACCCTCCCTCCCAGCGGCCTCTCAAAGAGTTTAAACCCAAATTTGAAAACTACATTAAAATGTAACAAAACAATGCACAGCAAAACTTAACCTAAACAAAGCACAATATGTCCAGTTATTACACATAGCACCCTTTCCTTACCACATATCATAGTGTTAAAGAACAAAATTCAACCAAGTAAATTTGAAGATTTAATTGGCTTTGTTGTTTCATGAATGGAGTAGCATCCCATCTAACAACTAGAACGGTGCTCCAAGGGATTATACAAAATGGAAAGTTTTTACAGGCAGAAAGAGGGTGGGACTAAGTTAAAAGAGTAGATTATTTCAGGTAGAACACCTTCCTTTAGTGGAAGGAAAGGAGGTCTTAGGGAGGTTTCCTCACTAGTGTAGATCAGGAAATTCCAGACTGATTGGTTTAACATACCACTTGTGGTAGAGGCTGAAACTGGGTGACATGCCTTAGCAAAAGTGACTTTATTTTGGACCTGTTGTTTCATTTTTTTAACAATAGCAAGTACATTGTAAAAGACCCTTCATGGTATGGCTCCTATTTATCTCTGCAGTCTCACCTCTTGATCCCAACTCTCTCCAGCTGCCTGTTCTGCAGCCTTACTGAACTGTGTTCACTTCCCACAAGGAGGGATGTGGTTGCTCACCTGCAGTTTTCCCCTTATTACTTCCTCTACTTGGACTGTTCCTTCCTCCTTCCTCCCTCCTACTACACATTGTTTTGAACTCAGCTTCCCTGATGGCAGTTACTCTTCATCCTTGCATTGCCAGCACCCAATACAGTGCCTGGCATTTGGTGGGCTCTCTATTCGGAGAAGTTAACATAAATCGCTCATGGTCAGACAGCTGGTTAAGTGGCAGCTGAGATTCATTAGGATTTCTGATTCTAAATTTTGTGTACATTCCCCTTCACCGTACTACCTTCCAGCTTGGATAAAAAAATCTTAAACACAGTTTAAAGTCCCAGTTCATTCATTAATTCAACAAATACTTCATTGATTTCTGTGGAGGAGAGACTGTTCCATGATGCTACTGCTGTCTGTCCTGGGAGCTGGTCCCAGGCCAGAAGGGGGAGATTTCTTACACAAAACTCCCCTTAGCCCTAGCCAGTTTAGCTCAGTGGTTAGAACATCGGCCCACAAACTGACGGGTCCCTGGTTCGATTCCGGCCAAGAGCACATAACCTCCACTGCAGGCTCGATCCCCAGCCTTGGTCAGGTGTGTGCGGGAGGCAACCAGTTGATGTGTCTCTCTCACATCAATGTTTCTCTCTCTCTCCCTTCTACTCTCTCTGAAAATCAATGAAAATATCCTTGGGTGAGGATTAAAAATATATATATGTATTTTTTAAATGATCCTTTAAAAAAAATAAACTCCCCTTAGAAACTGTCTGATCATAATTGGTGTTCATTCTGACATAAATCAGCACCCTCGCCTTGCCTCCAGCTATGTGCTGACTCCTGGAACAGACTCTTGTCCTGACCTGGTCAAGTATGTAAAGTAATTTCCATACCTTCTAGCATTCACGCTCTAGTACCCATGATTATCCCTCCCTGCATATTTATTCTATATAATTTTCTGGCACCTGTCAAGTGGCACAGAAGATACATACTTCATCTTTTAGCCACCCAAGATGCACCTCATATGCAAGTGTCCTTTAATAAACTCTGTTAATTGCCAGACTGGAGT